GCAGACTCTGGAATCTCTGCCCAGAACGGCTGCCCTCTGTTTGAGCCCTCGGGATGCCTAGGAGCCGGGCATCTTCTGCCCAGGCAAATACAGGACCTATTTTTGTGTCTGAAAAGTTTCTCAGTCTAAAGGTAAACTTGGCCTGATAACCCAGAGGCAGCCTGTCCACTAAACCTAACACAAGGATTATGCTTTTTAACTACCTCGGTCTACATAAACATGCAAAAATGACAGGCAATGGAGAAAATCCTACAGCAAGAGACCAGAAGCTAAACGGAAAAACTGGTCCTGGAAGGAAGAATTTTAGGGAATAAAAGAGAACTCAGTGCCTCTAATTAGTATATTCTCACAGAGATCCCAGATAGTGCACCTGGACTTCTGGAATTGGCTGTGAAGAGCAGTGTTTTGGGCTAGTGTGGCACAGGCCCGTTACATAAAGCCCAGGCAAAACCTGCAAAAGCAGCTTGCGGAAGGCATTGGGGAGCTTGGCTCGAGGGTGTCGGATGCCGAAGAAAAGGAAAGCACACAGGTGAACTTCATGTTTACCCTCCCTTTTAACTCGAGGGTATTTGCCAGTTTAGTGTGGGGGAAGTAGACTCAGCAGCAGTCCGCTGGGCTGAGTTCACACAGGTTGGACTGCATAGCTTGGACTGGAGGGCCGAATTTCCAGATGGGGCACTGAGCCCCCAGATCTGGCCTCAATCTTCCCTCACGGCATTTGCAAGCCGCTGAACCGCTTGTTGTGGGTGCGAGACACCCTCTCCCAGCCCCGCCCAAGGGCTCATCCAAAAGCTGTAGCTGGAGGCTACCGAGCTGAGCAAAGATGGCCGCAGCCTTGGCAATGGCCATGCTGGAGATCTCCAGAGCTCCACCATATTGGAGTAAGGCCACAAGTGAAACAGACCAAGCATGAGGAAACCTCAAAAGGACCTGTCAGGATTTATAGGTGATCGCTCTGCTGGGAGAGGACTTAGCCCTTCGGGGGAAGATCGAATTCAGAGCCTCTGTGATTCTTAGTACACAATGCTCACCATTTACTCAAACATTAGGCATTCTAGAAAGAAGACTTGAGTTGCTGAAAACCAAGGGAAAAGTAGCCAAGAGACCCAGGCATTCTGATGTTGGGAGTTATCAGAGAGTGAAATAACTATAGGTTCACAAAACAAGGAAAGGATGGAGAGCTTTACTAGAGATCTGCCATCTTTAAAAGAAAAAAAAATCAAACGGAAATTTCAGAACTGAAAACAATAACAAATTAAGAATGTACGTGCATTCTGCAGTTAATCAGATACAACATAACCCGAAATGTTCCTGTTACAACACATTAGAAGTGCTGGGGGGGGGGGCGCCTAGGTGGCTCAGTCGTTAAGCGTCTGCCTTCGGCTGAGGTCATGATCCCAGGGTCCTATGATCGAGCCCCACATCAGGCTCCCTGCTCGGTGGGAAGCCTGCTTCTCCCTCTCCCACTCTCCCTGCTTGTGTTCCCTCTCTCACGGTATCTCTCTCTGTCAAATAAATAAATAAAATCTTAAAAGTGCTGGGCACCTGGGTGGCTCAGATGGTTAAGCGTCTGCCGTCGGCTCAGGTCATGATCCCAGGGTCCTGGGATCGAGTCCCGCATCTGGCTCCCTGCTCCTTGGGAGCCTGCTTCTCCCTCTGCTTCTCTCTCTCTCTCTCTCTCTCTCTCTCTCTCTCCCTCTCCGTCTCATGAATAAATAAATAAAATCTTTAAGAAAAAAAAGTGCTGGGGGGGAGACAAACTTTCTTGAAAGAGAAACCTCACAATCTTTTAAGGAAGTCAACAGGGAGTTAAAGGAGAGGAAACGGGATCCAGTTCAGAGCAGCAGGGGAAAATCCCAGATGGCAGTTTGTAGAGAGCACTTAGTCCACACGAGTCAGAGGACTCAAGTTTCCGAGGAGTTTCACAATAAAAAAGGTTCAGTTGCTGAACTGATGGCATTTATCATTTCACAATGTACACAAATCAAACCATCGTGCTGTATGCACCCCAGCTTCTACAGTGATGCATGTCAATTGTTTCTCAGTAAACCTGGTTAAAAAAGTTTCAGTGAAATATGTTGTGATGGAAAGTTTGAAAAATTGAGAATGTGGAAGAAAAGCAGATTGAAGTTGCAGGAAAAAAGCTGTTCAGGAAAGGCAATGTAATCACAGAACACTGGGCTCTCTAGTAAACAGTCAGTACTTAGACATAATGTGAGCACTTTATTGATTGCCCTAAAAACTGGTAGCATAAAACTACCATGGGAAGAGAGCGGAAAGGTTGTAAGAGCAGAAAATCAATATGTAATATATTACTAACATCTAAAATCGATAAATTGAGAAATAACAGATTACTTAGATACGCAAGCAAAATATCTTTGTTGCCTCTTACAGCGGGGAGAGTTAGGACAGGGGTTGGTGCTTTTCAATATTAGCCCTTTTGTGTTATTTGATTTTGTTTTCACTGACAACTGTTGGAGTTATCAGAGAGTGAAATAACTATAGGTTCACAAAACAAGGAAAGGAGGAGAGCTTTACTAGAGATCTGCCATCTTTAAAAGAAAAAAAAATCAAACGGAAATTTCAGAACTGAAAACAATAACAAATTAAGAATGTACGTGCATTCTGCAGTTAATCAGATACAACATAACCCGAAATGTTCCTGTTACAACACATTAGAAGTGCTGGGGGGGGGGGCGCCTAGGTGGCTCAGTCGTTAAGCGTCTGCCTTCGGCTGAGGTCATGATCCCAGGGTCCTATGATCGAGCCCCACATCAGGCTCCCTGCTCGGTGGGAAGCCTGCTTCTCCCTCTCCCACTCTCCCTGCTTGTGTTCCCTCTCTCACGGTATCTCTCTCTGTCAAATAAATAAATAAAATCTTAAAAGTGCTGGGCACCTGGGTGGCTCAGATGGTTAAGCGTCTGCCGTCGGCTCAGGTCATGATCCCAGGGTCCTGGGATCGAGTCCCGCATCTGGCTCCCTGCTCCTTGGGAGCCTGCTTCTCCCTCTGCTTCTCTCTCTCTCTCTCTCTCTCTCTCTCTCCCTCTCCGTCTCATGAATAAATAAATAAAATCTTTAAGAAAAAAAAGTGCTGGGGGGGAGACAAACTTTCTTGAAAGAGAAACCTCACAATCTTTTAAGGAAGTCAACAGGGAGTTAAAGGAGAGGAAACGGGATCCAGTTCAGAGCAGCAGGGGAAAATCCCAGATGGCAGTTTGTAGAGAGCACTTAGTCCACACGAGTCAGAGGACTCAAGTTTCCGAGGAGTTTCACAATAAAAAAGGTTCAGTTGCTGAACTGATGGCATTTATCATTTCACAATGTACACAAATCAAACCATCGTGCTGTATGCACCCCAGCTTCTACAGTGATGCATGTCAATTGTTTCTCAGTAAACCTGGTTAAAAAAGTTTCAGTGAAATATGTTGTGATGGAAAGTTTGAAAAATTGAGAATGTGGAAGAAAAGCAGATTGAAGTTGCAGGAAAAAAGCTGTTCAGGAAAGGCAATGTAATCACAGAACACTGGGCTCTCTAGTAAACAGTCAGTACTTAGACATAATGTGAGCACTTTATTGATTGCCCTAAAAACTGGTAGCATAAAACTACCATGGGAAGAGAGCGGAAAGGTTGTAAGAGCAGAAAATCAATATGTAATATATTACTAACATCTAAAATCGATAAATTGAGAAATAACAGATTACTTAGATACGCAAGCAAAATATCTTTGTTGCCTCTTACAGCGGGGAGAGTTAGGACAGGGGTTGGTGCTTTTCAATATTAGCCCTTTTGTGTTATTTGATTTTGTTTTCACTGACAACTGTTGTTGTTAAAATGAGAGAAAAATACTATGAAGGAGAGGGATAGACATACCTGCTCTAGCCCTCTCATTTGGCAAAAGTCCTTTTCAGGATTCCATTCCCCCATCCAGCTAATGGTGCTGGTGGGCAGCAGTCAGACTTCTCCACAGTCTTGTCAACGTTTCCTACATTTCTTTGGCCTCTCTAGAGTGTATCTGATACCACTGCCCACTTCTTTTTTTAAAAGCACTCTCTTTAACCTTTCCTCCCACCTGGTTTTCCTCCTACTTTCCTGCCGTTCTTTGTCTTCTTCCTACCTTTGAAATGTTAGGAGTTTCAGGGACTCAGTCCTAGGTCCTCTTCGTTGTGTGTTATCTTGCCCCCAGCTAATGAACACAGCTAACCACCAAGACAGGTCCAGACATTTCCAAATCTGTCCACCTGTCCTTCCTGCCTCCTATCCGCGTCCAAGACATCACAGTATTGCTGGGAGAGCCTTCTCGCTGGTCCCCCGGCTTCCGCTGTTGCTGCCATCCAATCCAGTCCCCACATCGTGGCCACACGGATCTTAAAATACACGTGAATATCACATTTTACTCTTAGGAGTTACCACGAAGTCCAAAGTCATCATGTGTATGCCAACACACACGGCCGTGCATAACCTCTATCCTGCCTACCTTCTCACCATCATGAACCACTCTAGTTTTTACCTCGTGGGCGCTTTCCGCCCGGAAAATGATTCATGCCCCGCCTCCGGATGATCTTCCCTCCAAGGACTATGTCAGTGGCCCTCCTGGAACACCACCTCCTCACTCCCAACTTCCTATCACAACCAGAGCTGGTTGTCTACCTCCCCTCTCCCATAGACTAAGTTCCTTGAGAGCAGTGGGCTTGTTTGCCCTGCTCACCACCGTGTCCAGATGTTTAACATAACGTTTGTTCAATGAATGTGGAAAAAAGAGAAAGGAGAGACAGGTGTGGCGGGCAGGACACTGAAACGGAAGGAGGTGCAAACAAGCTGCAAGAGGAGGGGGTCCCAAACGGGACAGACAGTTGGCGACTGAGGGCTTGGCAGCCAGACAGGCGTGGCAGCAGGTGGGGCGGTCACGGCGCCGGGAGCCGAGCGCACGTCCAGCCGCGCCCCCACAGGGGGCGCCCACCGCCCGGGGCGTGGCCTCGCAAACCCCGCCCTCCTCGCCGGAGACCGGGCAGGCGGGCAGCTCGCCGCGGCGGCGCAGACATGGCTGCGCTGGTGGAGCCGCTGGGGCTGGAGCGGGGTAAGCGCGCCAGAGGGCCCTGCCCACCGGCCGCGGCCCGCGTCCGGGACCTCGGTCCCCGTCCCTCCCCGGCCAGCCCCCCAGCGGGTGGGCGGGCAGATCGAGCTGGGGGTGGGTGGGCGGGGCGCCGCGGTTTGTGGGTGTGGGAGGGTCCGTGGGCTTAGCGGGCCCAGGAGGGGCGCCCACAACACAGCCCTTCCTGTGTGCGTATGCGGATCCTGGGGCGCAGGGCGCCTGGCTGGCCGCAGTCCCCTTGCCCCCGGCGACTCTGCGGGTGTCCGACTGGGACTCGGCTGTCTTTCCCGGGATCTGTCAGCGCTCGCCCTTACTCGGTTTCTGCCGCATCTCTCCGTGCTTCTCCCCGTCTCTGACTCTGTGTCTCTGCGCCCCGCCCCCGCCCCGCAGACGTGTCCCGGGCGGTGGAGCTCCTCGAGCGGCTCCAGCGCAGCGGGGAGCTGCCCCCGCAGAAGCTGCAGGCCCTCCAGCGAGTCCTGCAGAGCCGCTTCTGCTCCGCCATCCGGGAGGTGAGAGCAGCGCGGCGCCGGGGCGCAAGCGGGCGGCCGCCGTCCTGGTCGTTGCCCAGAGCCCAGGGACTACGCCTCCCAGCAGCGCCGAGGGCGGCCCGCCTTGGGGTGCCCGCGCTTCAGCTGCGGGGTTCTTCGGGAGTTGTAGTTTCCTCGGGCTCCGGGTTGCTGGGGGCGGGGCCGATCCTTGGGTGGGAGGGTCTGCGGGCTGGACTCTGGTGTTGAAGGGAGGAGGGGCTGGCTGGTGGTTCCCTGATGCTGCCGTTGTCTTCACCAGGTGTATGAGCAGCTCTATGAAACGCTGGACATCACGGGCAGTGCTGAGATCCGGGCCCACGCCACAGCCAAGGTAGGTACCCCCCACGCCATCACTCATGGTATCCACTGAACTGCCTGGTCTAGCTTAGTAACTTCCTAAGGTCAGTCATGCCTGTTTCTTCCTTCATGATTTTTGCCAAATCTATGTACTAGCGTTACTATTATTTACTGGTGTTATAATCTCATAGGTTGTACTTGAATGTCATATAACGGCATCTTTAGCAACTTCAAATGTGAACTAGTGCCGCATACCTGACAAGAAGATACCTTTTAGGGCGCCTCGGTGGCTCAGTCCGTTAAGCAACTACCTTCGGCTCAGGTCATGATCCTGGAGTCCCAGGATCAAGTTCCGCATCGGGCTCCCTGCTCAGCGGGTAGTCTGCTTCTCCCTCTGACTCTCCCCCCTCTCATGTGCTCTCTCTCAAATGAATAAATAAAATCTAAAAAAAAAAAAAAAAGAAGAAGATACCTTTTAACACCTATACAATGAAATAGCATGAAACACTGAAATCTTATTAAACTATAGTTGTATGCTGTTTCTTGCTGCTTCCTGGAGGCCCTCAGCTCCTTCCAGGCCTTGTTTTTCTCTATTAAAAATCGAGATTGGCAAGTGTTGACTATTTAAGACACACTCACACCAGGTGGAGACATTTCCTTTGACATGTCTGAAGCATCCAGAGTGAATTAAGAGAGATTCATTACAGTGCAAGCTCGTGTTGAACTGTGGCAGGTGTCCCCTGCGTGGGGAAAGTGATCTGGCCCAGATCCTACCCCCTCATCTGCCTGCCCACCATGGAGAGGACCTCACCTCCCAATGCCTTCTGTCTCCCAGGCCACGGTGGCTGCCTTCACAGCCAGTGAGGGCCACGCACATCCCAGGGTAGTGGAGCTGCCCAAGACAGATGAGGGCCTGGGCTTCAATATCATGGGGGGCAAGGAGCAGAACTCCCCCATCTACATCTCCCGTGTCATCCCTGGAGGTGTGGCTGACCGCCATGGAGGCCTCAAGCGTGGGGACCAGCTGCTGTCAGTGAATGGTGTGGTGAGTGGAGACTGAAGCTGGGCTCACAGTCTGTTCAAGGTAGCACAGTCCCTGCTTTTGACATTCATTCAACAAGCAATGATAGAGTACTGCGTGCTGGGCACTGCTACAGACCCTGAGAAAAATTTGCCTCAGCTCCTATATTCAAGGACTCCGTTCTTGGTGAGGGAGAGTGACTGGAACAGTCCTAATCTGGGGAGATGATAATGAGGAAGCACAAAGCATTGCGAGAGCCTGAATATGGTCTGCGGTGTAGATGAGGAAAGTTTTTGCAGAGAAAGGGACATTTGAGTTGGGTTTTGAAGGACGAGGAGGAGTTCTCCCCGCAAATAAAGTAGAGAAGACTATTAGCAGCTAAGGGTGTTGTAGGTAGGGGCTGTGACTCTACACTCCTCCGAGCTGAACAGAAAGTGCTTAGGTCTAGTGGAGGACTGCAGCACGTAGTTAATTAAAATCACTGCAGTTAGAAATAGATGGCAGCCCCGGGCTGGGTCGGCAGTGGGGGCCGGCTACGCGGGGCCTGAGTACCAGCCTGAGAAGCTGGGACTTTGTCTAAAGGGTTCTGGGGAGCCACGGGAAGGCTGTGAAGAGGAGATGGATAGGCTCAGCTTGGAGGTGTAGAAGGATCCCTTTGGGACTTTATAGGGGATGGACTGAAAGTAGAGACTGGAGGCCAAAAATTCTAGGGAGGAGGCTAAGTGAAAGTCCACTGGGGAGAGGATGAGGCCTGAGCTGGGGCCAGGGTGGTGGGGACAAAAAGGAGGGAGTCAGCAAGAGGGAGGGGGCTGGGGGTTAGCAGGCTTCGGGGACAGAGGGGATAAAGATGGACCTGGGGGTCTAGCTTAGTGAGTGAGGGCAGATAGGGCTTGTCCTCGCCATGAAAAACTTGGAAGCTTTTGAGGGAGGACACTGAGCCAGAATTAATGACTCTCCCCTGAAGACTCCAGGCCTTGACATCTCAGGCCGGTACCAGGCCCACCACCAGTAGGTCCCATTTCCAGGGTTGGGGCTGGGTGTGGGTGGTAGGTCCCAGGCCCAGGTGTCTGTGCACTGCCCTGCAGAGCGTTGAGGGTGAGCAGCACGAGAAGGCAGTGGAGCTGCTGAAGGCAGCCCAGGGCTCGGTGAAGCTGGTGGTGCGTTACACACCTCGCGTGCTGGAGGAGATGGAGGCCCGCTTCGAGAAGATGCGCTCTGCCCGCCGGCGCCAGCAGCACCAGAGCTACTCGTGAGCCCTTTGCCATCACACCCCTGGGGCCTCCGTTGCCTCCTTTGCCTCCTTTATCCCCAGAGTCCCAAACCAGGCCAGTGATTTCTGGGACCTTCATGGCTACCCCCAGCCCTGGCTCCTCTCCCTGGGGTTCTGACCCTTGACCCCAACCCAGGCTCTCACAGGCCATTCTGGCTACATCCTCTGGGGACTCCCGGCTCACTGTCATCCCAAGATCTGCAGCCTACTCTCTGGAATCCCTCAGTCTGCTTCCCTGGGCCCTTAGCTCTGGAACCCCAGTCCTGGTTCTCCCCCAAGCCTCCCTGGGTCCCCTCCCCTGAGCTTGGCTCCCATCTCTTCACCCTCTTTGCAGGTCCTTGGAGTCTCGAGGCTGAAACTACAGTATCTGGATCCTCACCCCGCCCCCTCCCCTGTACAGTATTTATTGTCACCGGCTCCTTATTTAAAGATCTTTGACCCTCACTGAGTGTCTGTGTGTCTGTCCTGCATCCTGGGGTTAAGAGTGTCTTGGGATGTGGGGATGGGAGAGAAGCTGAAGTCTAGAGCAGGCCCGGAAGAAACCCTTTTCAGAGTCTGAGAGCAGAGGTAGAGACTTTCCCCCAAGGTCTGAAGGCGGAGGCTGGCCGGCTTCCTAGGCATAAGTCCAAGGCGGAGGCTGGGGCCCTGTCTGGGTCCGAGTGCGGGGTCATAACCGAAGTCAACGCCCCTTGCCCTTAAAGACAGACTGAGGGCGAAGGCCAAGCCCCTTCTGTAGTTGGTCTGACAGAGGAGTCCTGAGAAGCTGCAGAGCCGGTGGGCGGCCTCTGTGTGGGCGGGGTGGAGCGAACCATAAGCTTCGTTCGCCAGGGGAGCCCTGCGGGCCGTACTCTCATCAGCGTGGGAGGTGGGGATGCCGCGTGCAGTTCCCGAGGTGGGCGCACGGGGTGCAGAACAAGGTGCACTCGCCGACCCGGCATTCACCCCACCTTCCAACCTGAGCGCGTGTCTCCGGGAGCCGCCCCCGCCTTAAAATCCAACCTTTACTCCCACCTCATCGCCGGTCCAGCCCTCGCGTCCCGTGCGGCGCTAGGGCCGGCGCGCGCCACCTCCGGGATCCGGGGTCGCAACTCGCCTTCCACGCTGCGCGCCACTAGCTCCAGGTGACATCATCCCCCTGCCGGGCTCCGCCTCCCGCCCCAGCCGCCGCACGCCGCGCGCTTATTGGCCGGCGCTCTTCGAGCCCCGCCTTCCGCTCTCCGCCCGCGCTACCCCTCCCAGTCCGTGCGGAGGCGGGGTTTAGCCACCGGCCGGCGCAGACGACGCCTCCCATTGGCCATTCAGAGCCGTCTGTCAGTCTCCTGTTAAAGGGGCCACGACCGCACGGGAGCTGTGGGGGGGGGAGGGAGGAGGAATTTTTTGGGGGGGGAGGGGGGATTTGGGGGGCGCTGGTGGGCACCCCTGGATCTGGCGGCTGCGGCCTCGCGGGGGGGAGGCTGAACGGTGATAGGGGCAGGGGGCTATTTTAGGGGGTAGAGGGCTGTTAGACCGTGAGGGGGAGGGGGGGTCCCCAGCGCCCAAGCCGGAGCCAGAGACGCGGAGCCCGCGCGAGCGGCGGAGACAGGGCTCCGGAGCCACAGATTCGGGCCCCGGCCGCCGCCAGGGGCCCCGCCCGGTCCCCCCACCCCACCCCACGTCCCTCCTGCAGCCCAGCTCCGCCCGCAGCCGCCGCGGACCAGGTAGGTAAGAGCCCGGCCCAGCCCGCTTGGCAGCGCCCACCCCGGGGACCCCTCGCCGAGCCTCCCTCGCCTTCCCGAGATCCTGGACTCCCTTCTTTATCCCCGGGGGCTCTGGAGCCCAGATTTCACAGCCCAACCCCAAAGACTCAGGCGTGCCCCTCCCGGCTCTCAGAGTCCCCAACCGAACCCTAGAATCCCAGGCGTACTGCCGCCTTGCGCCTCGTCCAGGGCCCAGGAGCCTGGATTTCCCTGTTCAGCCCCGGCAGCCCCCTCTGGACGTACATCCTCCTCCTGGGCCCATTCCCGGGAGCTCCAGACACCTGCCGTGGCTGTGTCAGACCCCCAGCTAGGGCCAGCTGTCCCCCGTCGGGTGTGCATAGTCCCCTATTCGTGCACCCGGTCTGCCCATCTCCAGCTTGAACAGCCAGCCTCCTCCCTCGGTCCAGGCCCGCTCGGCAGCCGCCCTGGACACAGGCCCGCTCTGGAGCTGTCCATGGTCAGCGCACTCGGCAGCCTCTCCTCCCCCACCTCCTGCTGCTGCTGCCGCCGGGGAGGGGGCGCCTGCGGTTCGGGGAATACCCCCCGCCGCGCCTTTGACCCGGAGATACCCGGGGTCCTCTCCAACCCGGGCGCCTGGCCCTCAGGGTTACGCTGGTGAGCCTCTCGTCCCGTCCTCAGTACCCCAGGTTTCTGGGACCCCAGCTGTTTCTTGAGGAGTCAGGGCTTCTGAATGTTCCTGCCTGGTCCACCTTAGGGACCTTGGCATCCAGGGATCCAGCTCCCACCTGGCTCTGGAAGCCCTGTCGGTGTTCACCCCGCCTGTCTGAAAGCCCCAGCTGGTAGCCCCCACTCGCTCAGGACCTGGGAATCCAGTTTCCCAGCTCTCGCCCCCTTTAGAGACCCAGTTCAACAGCCCCTGTGCCCCTCAGGCAAATATACCCAGCCTCCTGACACCCCAGCACTGCCTGCTTAGGCATTCAGGCACCATGACTCTCTCCCTTTCAGGGACTTGGAATGCAATTCTTAAAGCAAATCTCTGGCTTCTGCCCACCTTCCCCCTTGGAGACCTAGATGCTTTGTCTCTGGTCCTGCATCCCCTCAAGGACCCAGGAGTTCAGACCCCAGCTTCGGTATTGCCCACCAAAACCATCTGCCACAATCCTCCTTCCCAACAAGGACTCAGGCTCCAAGCTTCCATCCCCTGTCCTTTATCTCCACAACGATTCAGGAGTCCAGGCCCCCACCAAGTATCTAGCCCATTAGCTCTTACTCTTAGGGACCCAGGTCCCCCCAGCCTCACAACCCCCATCAATTTGACATCTCTAGTGGCCTTAACAAACCCCTGCCTCATCCCCATATCATCTCAGGCACTGGGCTCCCTGGGGATTCTCTTCTCTATTCCCTGAGACCCAGGTTCTTGAGATGTTTCCAGCACCCCATCATGATGTTTCTGTCATGATGTCCCATCCTCTGAGTACACCTTCTCAGGCTGATGAGCCAAACCCCTTCCTCTAGATGTGTTCTGTGACCTAGGTTCATTAGATGATCTAGAACCTATCCACTATCTTCCATATTTCCAGTTAAACTGTGCCCTTGCAATGCTCTAGATTCTTTCTAAATCTTAGAACGCTCTCAGTCAATATCTCTGTTCTGTTTTCACCCACGGAATGTTTTCAGTTCTAGGTTAGATGCTAAAATCTAGGCATGTATTTCCCCAGGGGAATTCAAATGTCTTGATAATGCCCCCAAACCAAATTCTGATCCCACCTTCTCCTCACATATGTTCCAAATTTTTAGAAACCAGTACTTGCTTATTCTCTGCTAAAATTTTATTTTAGATGTGTTCTAGGTTCCAGACACATCCTTGGCATTGTTCTAGATTCTGTTCTCCTCCCAGGGGGATTCTATATTCTAGAATATGTGTGTTCCAATTATGTGCTCTACCCTTTCTCCAATTGCACTATCAATTTTAAAATGCACTTTCCTATTTTAGGTTCCATCCACTTCCACGGTCTTAAATCTAAAGGATTCTCACTGAAATGTAGAGCATCTTCCTTTTTCAGGTACTAGATTCTAGGCCCATCCATTCCCACCTTTTCTGTCCATCTTTTCCCTAATGTGACCTTCGTTTAGAACTTATCTCCTAGAGGACTGTGGGCTTCCTCCTCCATCTGGCACTTTAGCATTCTAAGCATGCTCTAGGCTCATCTCCTCTTTTGGAGTCTTCAGCTAGAAATGTCCTCATTTCCAGAACATCTCTCCCCCCTTCCTTTGCCAGCTCAGTCCTTATGCCAGTAAATTCTCAATTCCCAGCATGCTTCTGAATCTTCCCCCAGGCACTTTTAAGTTCCAGGCAAACTCCTTGCTACTTTCTAGGGTTTTTTCCCCCACCTCCAGGGAATGTTCTGAATTCTAGTGTCTATCTTTCGCCTTCTGTCTGTCACCTAGACACATGATAACACCAAGAGTGTGATCCCTGCTATATTCTTTGTTACACCTGCATCCCTGGTAGGTTCTGAGTTCTAGATGTCTCCTGACTAGGTTTGTCATGTGTCACATTAGGTATGTTCTTAGGTATCATCTTGCTCCCCTCTGTGTTTGGGGTTCTTTGGTGACCCAGACCACTCTTTCATTTATTGGATTGCTTTTGACTGGTTCAGGTTCCAGACCTAGGTTCTAGAATATGCCCCTCTACTTGGCCCTATGTGAGGATTTTACCCCAAGCGCACTGTACCCGTGGAAACACATGTCCTTTCTGCAACATGTACTGTCTTCATGCCAGTGGCTTTCTAGATCCTACACCCAGCCTTGCTAAATTTTACGTCCTTCTCAGTGAATTTGAAGTTCTAGAGCAGCTTCCTGTGTTGCATCTCCTGAGTAGGTTCTGGATTTTAGGTACCATGTTGGTTTTGACCTCTCTCCTTATAAATATTGTCTTAAATCTGGCCTCTGAGTGCTGGCATGCCGGTGTCTAGATTCCCAGGGGCACCTCTTCAAAGACCCAAGGGTGTAGGCATCTAGCTGCCTTCACTCCCAGGTTCCAGGGCCCTCCATCCTTCCTCTTCTCATTGAAGTCCAAGACCCCAGTTCCAGGTTTTGGACATAGTGTGCACACTGGGTGGAGCTGGGAACTATTCACTGTCAGAACCGGTTATGCCGCTGCCTGGAGGGAGAGAAGGAAAGGAGGGAATAGAGTGAAAGTCTCTCCTGCTTTCGACCAGGCCAGCTGGACCCGTCTGACCTGATGTGTGTGGAGGGAGCGGCTCAGGAGACCTCCCTTCATCTCCGCCCACGGCTCATGCACCTAGATTCCTGGGGCCTGGGGGCCTGGACTCTGGGGTTCTAGGGGAAGAGGGGTCTGAAGGCTGGGATTTCTGGGTCTGAGGTTGGAAAGCTCAGATTCTTGTGTCCCTGTCTGACCCCCAGGATTGGGGAAGAGGTGGCTGAAGGCTCAGACTCCGGGGTCTAGGGGAGAGAAGGGAATTGGGGACCCAGCCTCCTGTGGCCTGAGGTAGGAGGGAGCTGGATCTTGGACTCCTGGGTTGAGGGAGATGGCTAGCAAGTGGAGTGGTTTTTAGATTCTTCTGGAGCTGGGGTCCAGATATCTGGGACATTGGGGGCAGGAGTTGGGCTGGATAGGTGAGGACCATCCCTGTGACCCTGTACTGGTACCAATGACCTAATTCTGTGGCCCCAGTTCTTTGACCTCCTGAAGGCATGGTTCTCAGCTGGGCTTGTCTTCTTACAC